ACTCATCAAGGGTGCCAGGGCAGCATCCGTCACGTGCGGGGGCCAGTTCCCGACGTTCGGCAGGAGGGGGTGCGCCACTAACTTGTAACGAACAAACCAACTGTCTGATACATTCTTCAGGCGATCCACTCGGGTGGGCTCGATCCAGAGATAAGTCTTCGACCCGTCCTGATGAATAGGAGCGTCTATCCCCTCAAAGAAACCGCTTGGTACAACCGGTGTGATGGGGCCAACCGTCGAACCTTGCTCTTGAGTCCCTGATTGGACCGGGCGCTTGGCCTTACGAGCCTCATCAACTTCAGCAGCCTATTTTCGGCTCGCCGCGCGACCTCTCTGTAACGACTGAGCGTCCTCTTCACCCGAAGACTCGATAACCTCGTAACCGACCTCCTGCTGAGGGGTCGGATCCTTCAATGCCGATGCCTGGGCGGCCCTCATCTTCTCAATCATCGCCAAACGGTCCATCTCAGCAGTCGATTCTTTGGATTTTGATTCTGGTTTGGAACTAGTAGTGGTCTATTTTCCCTTCGATTTCACAGCAGTTCTCTTCGCTCCTGTGTCGGTGGCCACACCTTTCAAATTACCCAAAAGGATAAAAAGCTGCAAGAAGCCGAACAGTAAGAAAAAACCAGACAATACAACCACCCGACCGAACGGTTAAAGAAAGGGGAAACGGATAAAGGCACTTACTGGGAACACAGGAAATCTTGACGTCGCCCGTACAGAGTCCGGCCTCGAACAGATTAGAATCCTCTACCAATTTGGGTTCGGCACGTTCGTCCTCGCCCTTTTGCAACAACTCAGTCAATTGGAGAACGAACGACTCTCTCAACTCAGGGACGAGCGAAGGGTTGGCTGAAACAACAAACTTGACCTGTTAGGTCGGACAAAAATAACCGAAAATTAGGAGAGACGAACGAGAAAAAGAAAGCATAAACTCACAAATCTTTGCAACGAATCTCGTCGGAACAGTTAAAAATTCAGAAGCTCCTGGATCATCCGGAGACTTCCGTGTCTGCCAGCCGCATCCGACCCAAAATCATGAAGATTTGAATTTGCTGATCGTCTCTGGGACTTTGGTGATGAGATCCCTAAATCTCGGATCCCGAACAGATATAGAGAACTGTCCGGATTTCTTTCTCGTTTCTTTCATCAGGAACAACGCGCGAATGTCATCCGGTGTCGGCATCTCCCAACCTTGTTGACTGAACAATACAAGCAGACTAATGATTTTCAGCCAGGTGATCGGAGAAACTTGGCTAAAACCGACCCCAGTCTCTCAGGTATTCGGTTAGGATACGAGGGAGCGAGAAACGGACCCCGAAAGCAACCAAACGCTCGAACAAGCCAATATAACCGGGTGGCGGACAGTGAACCCGTTCCCGACTGTAGGGCGCAAACATCTTGATGTCACGAGGGAGCCGGATGAAGGTTCGAACCTTGACCACCTTATCGTCCGTCATGTCGCTGGGGATGTGAGCCAGTCCGAAGATGCTCGTTGACGGCCATTCGCGGTACGGATGACGCCAGTATCCGCTTGGAACGGACACGACTGCTTGTTCTATCTGGTGATCCTCATCCGGACTCTCAATTTGGAGTGGGAGTATTATCTTGCCCGTCGTGTCACCTTGAAGGGCTTCCTCGTACTGCTCCTCGTTGTAACTTTTGGACGTAGACGAAGCCTCGACACTCATATTGACTAACAGATAGGAGAAATAAGGAGAAGAAGAGAAAAAATAACCTTCCAGCGGAAATTAGACCACAGGAAAAGGAAAGTCGAACGGATGCACGGGTCGATCGGTTCGAAGAATAGGGAGAAGTCATAATAATTTTGAATGAGGAGAATAGTGTGGGATTTTCGAAAGGGGAGAAGACATATTTATACTGTCCAAAAAGGGAATGAAGAGACACAATGATTAAGGTACGATACAACGTGTCAGACGAAGCGATTCGCATACGCCATTAATACAGGGGCTCCCAATAAAAAGGTGACACGTGTGAAATAGAATTTACTCTAGAAACCGTCGAAGAGGGAGACGCGCCTTTTTGGGAGAAGGTAACCGTCACTGAAGATACGCGCCTGTTGGGATTAGAGGACGACCGGTCGGAAGAAAAGAAGGAGGCAGAGACGTTCGGTTCATCAGGAATATGCAGATCTGGGCATTACGACCGGAGACTGTACCTAACGTTATGCCCGAATCAGGGGGCCTTTGTTGGTGGTACAGACCGAACGAATGGCAGTAAGAAAAAGAAAGGGAACCGGATGCCTCCGGGATCGGGCCGCTGCCGAACGGATGGGAGAGAATAAGTGAGATCTGTTTAATCATTACAAGAGCCAGTCGTACTGCGCGCATTAAATGCGGAGATACATGAAAATCTCTTATCCGACGACAAAGGAAAAATAGGGACGCGTGGCACGATCCGAACGACTCTCAGATATTGGGAAAAGATTATCAAGTACAATTAGCATTAAATGCTGAATGACTAATATCTAAAAATATCCTGAAAAAGGAAATGTAAAAATCCCCAAGAGGGAAATGTAAAGTCCCTAAACTTCCTATAAAAGGGAGGGGAGGACATCATTTAATGCAATGAGTAAATGCTCTCATTAATTATTCAATGAGTCACAGATAGACTGAGCATTCGGACCAGTAAAATTAAACCGAATCACATACACAAATACTATTCGTGCAGACTGAACAGAGTACACATCTTAGTGTACAGTTCGAACACATTGTTGGTCATTTTTAGACATCAACATGTTTAAAGAGGAAATTCGATCATATTTATAGAAAATAAGATAGATGTTAGCCGTTAGATTGATAAGGAAACCAACGATCGTGATAAGGCATAGAATACGAGGAGTCAATGGTTGACGGGACGCGCGTCACTTTTGAAATTCGAAATTTCAAGAAAAAAAAGAGAGCGTCAGTGTCAGATTTATCTTGAAAAGATAGTCATTAATGGAGAGGATTCGACCCAAATAGCAAGGCATGACAAGCAACCAGAAAAAATCGGATATCCCAAAGACAGGAAGAAGTGACGATCGACCCCTCTTCACATCGACTGCAGCGCGATTACTAGAATATATCGAATTTTTCAAAACGGCTAAATAGCCGGCTCAACCCAAGGTCAACTTCGACCAGCTCGCAAGAAGGGTTGGGAGAAGACGACTTGAAAAAAATTAGTTCAACAGCTATGAAGCTGTCAAAATTATTGCTTGACTTTGATCAGCTCGCAATAAGGGTTGAGAGAAGTCGACTCGAAAAACTTGAAGTTCAACAGCTAAGCTGTTGAAAATTATTGCTCGATTTCAATCAGATGACTCGAAAAACTTGAAGTTCAACAGCTAAGAAGCTGTTGAAAATTATTGCTCGACTTCGATCAACTCGCAATAGGGGTTGGGAGAAGACAACTCGGAAAAGCTTGTTCAAACAGCTATGAAGTTGTTGAATCAGTTGCTTGACTTCGACCAGCTCGCAAGAAGGGTTGGGAGGAGAGGATGAATTACAGCACTTAGGAAAATCCCACATGATATAACAAGCGCAAACATAAAAAAAACAAAAAAAATTAATTGATCATTATCGAAAGAATCGATAGAGCACAGACAAATGACGAGTTAAATAAGATAGCATTATATTAGAATAGAAAAGTTTTTACATCCGAAGCCATCCCAACCTTTACATTGGAAAACAGGTCGAGATGGCAATAAAAAAAAGAGGACGGAAAGAAAAATAAAAGAAAATACAAAGCTGTTATCATCCGACTCGGTAAAGCACAATTAAGGGTCTTGAACAGCATCTTAAGCAAATTTAAACTTCAAAACCGACGTGACCCGAAGTTACCCCATCTCGCACGACGAACCGGTATAGCCACAAAAGACCGAAGTGGCCATTATCCGCCGAGGTCATTCCAAACCGAGGTCAACACAAACCGAGGTCGTCACATCCTAAGCAGGTGACAAGGCGCCTACACGCCCCTCTCACGATCTACGAGATCTGTTATCATTCATGTGGGGCCCTCCTAAGCCTGTCGCCCATCAAATAGTAACTTTTTGGAAAAAACAATGCACATATCCCGATATACATACCAAAAAAGTTACTATAAATAGTGAACTGATACTACTTGTACGGGATCAAATCTTTCTTCCCAAACCAAACTCTTTTATAGTGAAACACGAAACAACTCTCAGAAGCTTTTCACCTTGGTTCACCTCAGACCGGGGCCAGTATTGCGTATTTTATCCATATTTTACGTTCGAATCATTCAAAATCATTAAAAAAATACTGAATTAGATCGTTGTTAAGAATCGCATAACAGTTTGGCACTAGAGGAAGGGCCTCATAAGTGATTTGAGGTTAATCTCCGATTCTTGTTTAGTGATCCACGTCAGTCATATCAATCATGTCTCATTCAGATTATCGTGGTCATACGTCGCGAGATGGCCACAGTCGAAGTGCTGCTCAATCCGCCAGACGACAAGTAGCAGCCCCCAATATACCAGATTACACTGTTCTGTTCCAAAATCTGGAGTTTGCACGTGAGTTCACCGCCCTGATGGCTCAAACAATCCCTGGAACATCAACGACTGCACCAAGACAATCCATTATACCAACACCCCCTGCTAATCCACAGATTCCACCAGTGCGACAAGACGGTGGCAGAACTACTTCTCACGCCACGTCTCAACCTCGCAGTCGAACATCGCAGGCCCACCCAGAACAAACTAAACGTCACGCTGAGATTGGACGCAATCCCCTCGTACTTCCTCATGAAGAAACCACCGAAAGTCAGTCTGGACATTCACGGCGGTCACCGCCTTATGCGCGACACCGAATCCCCTCTAATCCGGCGCAAACTGACCTTCGTCAGCATATTAAGAGAAATCGAGCTCGCCAAGAATCATCCGAACTCGAAACATTGCGACGAAGAATCGCCGAGTTGGAAAGTCGGCAAAGGATGCCCGAAGACCCCCTTCGGCGGACCTCGACCTCGGCACAAGTATATCTGGAAGCCGACTCCCCTCTCACACCAGAGCTCACTTCGGAACCTCTACCCGGAAAAGTTAAAGTTCCTCAAATTGGGTTATACGATGGGACTTCGGACCCCAACTTACACCTCGGTCACTATACTTCGTGGATGGATCTGCATGGGGCCTCAGACGCACTTCATTGTCGCATGTTTTCTCTTACGTTGGGACCTCCGACTCAAAAATGGTACCATTCTCTTCCTCCTCATTCTATTTGGAAGTGGCAACAGCTGAGGTCGGCTTTCCGATCTCATTTCATCGGGGCCCAAGTGTGTTTAATTCCAAAAGAATCCCTTGCAAACTTAACTAAAAAAGATGATGAACGCGTCAAGGACTACATCGCTCGATTTAACGATCGAGTTCAGAATATGGAGCCATGTCATCCTGAAACCTTGCTTGTTATGGCTATCGCCGGGCTGAAACCGAACTCGATTTTTTGCTGGACATTGTGTCAGAATAAGCCAAACACCTTCCAGGAATTTCTTGCCCGAGCTCAACAGCACATTATTGCCGAGGAAGCCATGTCGGTCCCTGATTTTAATTTCAATCCGCAGTCATCTAAGTCGAGAACCGATGAGAAAAAAAAAAACAAATTGTTCGATAAACAAAACAAGGCTCAATTTAGGGGGTACCCCCAAGGAGACGCCAATGATCCCGAAATTAGAGCAACTCGGAAACAATATGCTACCGATGTGAAATCCGGTTATCAGACCGTCTATTCAGCCGGAGCTGCAACCATTTATGAAGAAATTAAAGGGAAAGGTATTCTGCCCGATCCCAAACCACTTCGGATGCCCGATGAAAAGCTGGATAAATCTCGATATTGTGACTATCACAAATTACCGGGGCACAACACTGATGAATGTTTGACTCTGTTGGCCGCTCTATTGCGTTTAATCGGTCATCCACAGCTCAGGAAATTTTATCGCAACACTGATCCTCAGAAACAGGGGCCGGGACGTCAAATTGAACCTTATGATGAGGATGAAGAAGAAGACCGAGGTGCTATGCTGAAGCGCATTCGGCAAGGAGACAAAGAAGTGTTCATGTTCACCTTGGAAACGTCTAACACTGAACCAACAGGAAACTCTCGAGGACGCAAACGAAGCCGATCTCCTAGTCCAATGCAAATTACCGTTCATCGAGTAAATACGAATAATTCCCGAAGTATTTCATCTCATCGGCAAATCAAGGCTTACGCCCGGCAAGCTTACAACTCCGACAGACAAGTGTACACCACCGATCTGAGAGACATCCTCAATAACAGGAACTGCCCCATAACTTTTAATATGGAGGATGCGAATCATTTTGCACACCCTCACTCTGACGCACTTGTTATTACCGTCCCTATATGTGGAATCCCAGTACATCGCGTAATGGTCGATACTGGGGCCTACTCGATCATTTTGATGTTAAAAGCTTTTGACAAAATGGGTCTTGATCCCACCAACATCCGACCTTGCAACGACCAAATACAAGGGTTTAACGGTAGCATTTTAAGACCCATCGGCGAGATTACTTTACCTGTCCGGTTTGGTATAACTGAACACGTTACCAAGCTTGTTATGGAGACTTTTAAAGTTCTTGACATCAACAACGAGTACGATGCAATCATCGGAAGAACCGCTTTGTACAAACTCCGAGCTGCAGTTTCCATCTTTCGCTACGCCCTTAAATTCCCAACGACACGCGACGAAGGAACACATTATGGAGATCAACGAGAAGCTCGAGAACTTATCACTTTCATACCATCCGTCGGAGTCCATTCTACCACTTCGGTTACCAAAGGGAATTCCTTGCCATCAACCACTTCGAGCGATAAACCTTACGAGGAACTTAGTCGAGAGGTCACTACCACCTTAACCTCGGATCTTCTGGCTAAAGACCGAGGCCAAAGACCCAGAAAAGAACCAATCCTTGAAGAAGACGAATTGGACCCAAGGGCTCAGTTCAAAGAAAAAAGCAGAAATGATCGAGCTGAACCCGGAGAAGACGTGGAGATAATTTATGTTGACGAGCCAACACGTCAGAAATCGTTGCGTATTGGGAGCCGTTTACAAGAACCTCTTCGGTGTGAACTCCTCTCGTTCCTCAGAAATAATTCTGATGTTTTTGCTTGGAAATATGAAGACATGAAGGGCATCGACCCCGGCGTCGCTAGCCACAAGTTGAACCTTGATCGAACTGTCCCACCAATCGTTCAAAAAAGAAGAAAATTGGGTCCGGATCGACATAAAGCGTTGGAAGAGGAAGTCAATAAGCTCATCGACAACAAATTCATTAAAGAAGCCAAGTATCCAACATGGGTCTCAAACCCCGTCCTCGTCAAGAAAAGCAATGGCCTGTGGAGGTTATGTATCGATTTTTCCAATTTAAACAAAGCATGCCCGAAAGACAGTTATCCGCTCCCGCACATAGATTATATGGTTGATGCCACATCGGGACACGAGTTGATGAGCTTTATGGATGCCTACTCCGGTTATAACCAAATTCCTATGGATCCTGAAGATTCAGAACACACCTTGTTTTATTCGGCACGGGGCTTGTATTGTTACACCATGATGCCATTTGGATTAAAAAACGCTGGGGCCACTTATCAGCGTCTTGTCAACAAGATGTTTACCAATTTGATAGGTCACACCATGGAAGTCTATGTAGACGACATGCTCGTCAAATCGGTATACGCTTCTGATCATATAATACATCTTTAGGACATGTTCAATATCCTCCGATCTTATTCCATGGTTTTAAATCCCAAGAAGTGCACCTTCAGAGTTGAGTCTGGAAAATTTCTAGGCTATATGGTCAGCCAACGTGGAATCGAAGCCAACCCGGTCAAGATAAAAGCCATTCAAGATCTAACTCCCCCGACCTCGGTCAAGGGTGTTCAAGCCCTAACTGGCCGACTTGCAGCTCTTAATCGGTTCATCTCCAAGTCTACAGACTGTTGCAAGCTGTTTTTTGAAGCGATTAAAAAAGGGAAGCGTTTTGAGTGGACCGAAGAGTGTCACAGAGCGCTCATCAGCATTAAAGAAGCTCTTACTTCCCCTCCGACGTTACAGAAACCGAAACCCGAGGAGATGTTGTTCTTGTACCTCGGAGTTAGTGATACAGCGATTAGCGCCGTCCTGATACGTGAAGAAGGGATGTTACAGTCACCCATTTATTACGTCAGCAACGCCCTACATGACGCCGAACTACGCTACCCCCTATGGAGAAGTTGGCGTTTGCACTTGTTATTACCGCTCGGAAATTACGACCTTATTTCCAAGAACATTCCATAACTGTCTGCACTTCATATCCGCTGACAAGTCCTGCACCGACCTGACACTTCGGGACGCATGTTAAAATGGGCAATTGAACTCGGATAATTCGACATCCACTACCAACCGAGGACCGCGATCAAGGCACAAGCCCTATCCGATTTCATCTCTGAATTTACCCCAGTTATAGAAGTTCATGATGACAACCAACCATGGGTTCTTTACATCGATGGCTCTTCAACAGCAAACCGAGCAGGTGCGGGAATAGTCCTGGTAAATCCAGAAAATCGATTATTCTGTCAGTCGGTGAAATTTCTCTTCCCTGCAACCAACAATGAAGCCGAATACGAAGCCTTGCTATCCGAATTGAGTTTGGCTGAATCTATGAACGTGAAACACCTCAAAGTCTTTTTAGACTCCCAACTTATTGTCAACCAGATCAACGGTTTGTATGAAGTCAAAGAACCTCGGTTGACACCGTATTTATCCTTGGCAAATCGAAAATTATCAAATTTTTCCGCTGACGTTGAACATATTCCCTGAACTCTTAATGTTCAAGCAGACGCTTTATCCCGACTAGCTTCTAGTACCGGGATGGAGAGTATGGAGTATGTCCAAGTCAGACAGCAAGAACAACCGTCTACCCTCCTTTCCGAAGTCGCGACCATTGAACCAGTGACGTCACAAAAACCACCAACTTGGATGGATCCCATTATTCGATATTTGGAAACTGGGGCCTTACCTTTGGACCCCAAAGAAGCTCGGGCACTTCGGATTCGAGCATCTCGGTACACTTTGGACAACGGAACATTGTTCAAAAGAGGGTATTCGGTCCCGCTCTTAAAATGTTTGACCGAATCCGAATCACGATATGTTCTCGAAGAAGTGCATGAAGGAATCTGTGGAAGTCACCCCGGTGCACAAGCCTTATCCTACAAGATTCTACGGCAAGGATACTATTGGCCTACTCTAAAAACCGATGCCACTGCCTGGGTCCGGAAGTGTCCGAAATGCCAAGTATTTGCACCCAACATTCATCAATCTCCCGAAGAGCTCAAATCAATTTACAGTTCATGGCCCTTCGCCAAATGGGGGATTGATCTCATAGGACCCCTACCGACCGGAAAAGGAGGCGTCCGATTTGCTATTGTAGCGGTTGATTATTTTACCAAATGGGCTGAAGCCGAACCATTGGCCACGATAACTGAACAAAAAGTTGTGGACTTCGTATGGAAGTCCATCATTTGCCGCTTCAGAGTACCAAATTCCATTATCACCGACAACGGTCAACAATTCGAAGGCAAGCGGCTTGAATCTCTTTGCGAAGAATATAACATTAAACACTTTTTCTCGTCGCCCTACCATCCCCAATCCAACGGCCAAGTCGAAGCTGTCAATAAGCTCATAAAAAACGGCCTCAAAGTCTGACTTGATGCTGCCAAAGGAGCTTAACCTGAAGAGTTGCCACACGTTCTGTGGGCTTATCGAACAACTACCAGGACGTCCACTGGCGAAACTCCGTTCTTGCTAACTTACGGCTCGGAAGCTGTGATACCAGTCGAACTCGGTGAACTGACTTACCGAATTCAACATTTCACCGAAGAGTCCAACTCGGATAACCTGAAAGCTAATTTGGACCTGCTTGAAGAACATCGCACCCGAGCCAAACTCAAAAATGCCGCTTATAAACATAGGAGTGAAAGATACGTCAATTCCAAATTCAAGCCATGTTCATTCCGAGTTGGTGATCTAGTCCTCAAACGCGTAATGGGGCCTGACCCCGGCCCACTTAAACCGAAGTGGGAAGGAACTTATCAAATCATCGAGGTTTTGCCCCACGGAGCATATCAAATAGCTCATCCCGATGGAACTCCACATCAATATCCGTGGAATGTCGTTTTCCTAAAGAAGTTCTATCAGTGAATGGTCCGAAGTCGGATAGCCGATTCTCCTTTTGAACGGACCTTCCTTTTGCTTCACCAAGGGGACGAAGTTACTCTTTTGATGTAATGAAAGTTCAAAAACTTTCACTTTTGAAACCCGAACAGCAGTTCGGTACCGATGTAAAATTTGTAACTCGGTTTTATTAATCTTTTGTACCGATGTAAAACATTACGACACTCGGTCTCGCCGATACCCCGTAATCTATCCAAACCCTACGCATGCTTTGGTTGGGGTTGAGGCTCGTCCACGTCATTTCAGCATACATGATTTGACGGGTCCCGATAATCACCAAATATAAAATAAAAAATTCGGTTGGGGCCATTCCATAATCGAACTCTGTCGAAGTTCGGTGAACTATATCTGCCTTACGTACGGCCCAAAATGTGTTAAGTTTTGCGAATTCTTAATAAGTTCGCATACCGACTTACGCTAGTGGCCGAAGCTATTGCAAAAGATCAAAGTGGAACTCGAAAAGTATTTTTACAAAAAACCACAACTCGGTTAATAATATGAATAAATCCGAGTTGGTCAACTCGTTTTAAATCCGTACCGAGTTCATTACACTTGGTCTACAAATTGCTGACTATCGCACAACATAATAAATACAATGAAACATACCGCAACATTCATAAGTTATATTATTAAGTCGGGAAGTTCAAAATTATAT